CAACAAAGATGATTAGATGACTGGAGGCTAAAACATGAAGAATCATTAAGGAATTGGGAATGTCTAGTCAAATAAAAAGAAGGACTATGGATGACGTGATAGCAGTCTCCCAAATATTTGAGGGGCTGTCACAATATTTGATAGGAGAATAGGGTCGACCTATTCTCTAAAGCATCTTAGGGCAGGACAAGAAGTAATGGATGGAAACTTGTTAACAAAGATCTAACTTAGAATTAAGGAGAAATGTCTTGTCAGTGAGAGCAATTAATCAGTGGAATGGCATGCCTCCAGGAGTTGTGGGTGCTCTTACCCCTGAGATTTTTAAAATAATTGGACAGCCAGTTGTCTAAAATGGTGTGGGGTCTCCTGCTTGAGCAGTGAGTTGGACTAGAAGACTTCCAAGACCCCTTCCGACTCTGTTGTTCAACTAGGTGAAAATCCATCTGATTACGGGGCAATCCATCTCATATTGTTCCCTTATACTTAACCAGTTTATCAAAGGCTTATTGAAGTCTAGACATCTGGGTCTACTAATCTAGTCTCTTTGTCAAAACAGAAATGAGTCTGGCATGACCTGTTTCTAACAAACGCATGCTGGCTTCTGGTAATCATTTTGTTTCTTACTTAGGGCTTACATGCTGCTGCTTGATGCTCTTTTCTAGGTTTTTCCTAGTTCCTAATGGGTGGATCTACTTTGTTCTCTTTCTTAAAGATTGGAACAATCTTTGGTCTTCTCCAATCTACTGTTACTTCCTCTTTACTATTAGTCAAAAAGTCACTGATTCCAGCCTAGACTGCATGAAATTTTCCATTGACTCAAACTGTCACTTCTTCAGTTTACTGTCAGGCTAATGTTCTATTGCTTTATTGGCCAAGACAAACATCTGTTTATAGATACTCCGTAACCCTTTTGTTTCTACTAAAACAGCATTTTTGCATAGGATCGTAATGAAATAGTCATTAATCTCTGTTGAGAAAATGGGACCACAAAAATTTCTTCTCACATCAGCTGGAACATAGACATTGCATTTTTAAAAAATATACAGAAGGTAGAGTATAAATTAAGGAAATCTACTAGGCCTATCCATATTACTTATTCAAAATATTGATTTAAATATTACATGATACTGCTTCATAAAATGATGCATTATTTAATTATTAGTTTCAAATGCTTCCATTATAACGCATGTTATAAACACTTACAATTTACATTCTAAAAGAGAAGCCAACAGATGTGCATGACATTGTTTTCCCCATAGAATTCTTGGTTGTGTTTGAAGGGCTAGAAAATGGAACAGTTCTCAAGCTGTCAACCTTTATTTTTTTCTCCTTTCTCCAAGTGAAGGGCACTCACAGTTAATCAAAATTTAGTTAATTTGCAATGGAATTTGCAACTGCGACATCTCAAAGGCTATCATCCAATTTCTGCTTACTTGATTCCAGGGAAGGATATCCTCAATAAAGATTTTGCTTCTTGAATACTTTTAGGCGTATCTTATAAATTATTGGCTTTTAATTGTGAAAGTAACCTATAATTCAAGATACCATTTTATAGACATCTTCTGTTTTTACACAATGGCAATGTACTCCCTTCAGTACTTGTTGGTTGTGCTGCACACATGAAAGAAACATGAAAACATGGAACTGTTGTTGAAGCACGTCTAGTACACCGTGCAACTGGAATATCTGTGGAAATCTCAAAGTAGTGGCTCTGCTGCTTGAAAGGCAGCTTTTGCCTACCACGTACTGCTGTTACACCTCCAGTTATGATGCTGGATTTATCCTTATATTATGGAAATAATGTTAAGTTCTCCTGAGCTATGTATGGATTTAGTCAAAATTCCTTTGGTATACAAAATCTCTGGCTCTGGCAATGCAAGAGGAACATCAGTATTATACTTAGTACATAATTATATATTAAAATATAACAATTATATATTATTAGTTCAATCTTCCAAGCAATGTTCCAATTTTTTTTCAGTGTGGGCGGAAAAGTATAGTGTTTGAGCGGCACATTTTCATGCCTGAGCACCTGAATTTTTTTCACATATGTCACCCAAGACAACAATGAAATAGATGTTATATCAAATCAAACTAATAAAATTTTAAAATGAATAAAATTATAAAGAAATAAATTTAGAAATATTTGTTCAAAAGCAAACTCACAACAATTATCTTTTCAAATTCATTTTGAATTAAATAAAAAAGTGCTTTGAAATGAATATATAAATGGCACTTAATACAGGTAATATTAAAATAGTAAATGTTTGATATACTTCATTTTAATGAATTTCACTTGATATACTTCATTTTAATGTATTATATGCAATTTGCTATTTTAAATGAGTAAAATGATTAAAATCCCAATGCATAAAGTCTCATTCACATCTAACAGTTTTCTTCCATCATCAATTTGTAAACTCAAGGATTTATTGTCTGTCTGTTCACCAATGCTTGCTGATTGTTTAAAAAATTGTGGCAATTTGTTCCTCTCTATACAAGTGGTTTTAGTAACCTACTACTACTGAACTCTGGGAGACAATTCTGCATATAACTAGTGATAGTAACTAGTGACCCAAAATATTGAACAAAATTGCACAGATAAACTGACAGATAGGAAGTTTAATTAGCTTAAAAGCAAAACTATTCTCAATGACTTTGAAAATCCCAATGAGTTATCAAATATCATGTGATGTCACTTGGCTGGTGGGAGACTCAAAGATAGATTGCAGCCAGGAGAGGTAGAACAAGGAAGGCTTTCTTTGAAAGAGAGAGATGCGCGAGGAAACAGGCCCTTCTTCTTGCATTTGGGTTCTGTGGGAGTTTAGAATTGCTGACGCACCGCCCTGGATTTGCCAATGGGAGCCTCAGGTGTGTAGCCTCGACTCGAGAGAAACGGCGGCAGTGAGTCTCCTGTCTTCACTTTCTACCTCGTTGTGGAGAGGTAGAAAGTAAAGGCAGGAGGATCACTGCTGCCGTTTCTCTTAAGTGTGGGTTGCTCTCTGCGGAGCAATCCACGCTCGGCTAAGTTAGCTTGTTCTTGGTTCACGACAATCTCCCACCCCCAACCCTTGTGGGCTTTTATGTGTTAATCGAGGCACGGATGATGGAGAGGAAGGGAAGCCAGCTGCTTTCACACAATACTTTTATCTTAGAGGCTGAATTAATCACATGGGTCAAAAAGACATGGAACTTCCTTTCAGTGAGTTTTGGCCAATCACTCCCTCCCCCCCTACCCAACGAGACAAATTTAGCCCTCTTAAACTTGTGCGAAGGCAGCTGTGGGCAATGTTCCCTCTAAATAGTTGCTCCAGGAAGCCCAAGCCACCACAAGCCCTCAATCTAGTCACTTTGCTGCCCTGCTGCACCTCAAGACTCCTGTTTAGCTGGAGGGGATTTCAATTGCGATTGTGCGGCTGCTCTGCAGACTGCAGTCCGTGTCCAGCAAACGACACTGCACGGCAGTTGGAAACTGCTGCGCGGTGTTTACTTTCCACGTGTGCGGCCGTGCACCTTAGAGGGAACAGTGCTTCCAAGCACTCAAGATCCAAAGGCCTTCTGAAGAGCCAGTGTTTACAGGCTTCTGGAAGGTTCGCAGACTGATCCCCTGCACATGGGAGCCTTTGCATCCTGCCGCTCAGCAGGATTCTTCCTTGCTCCCTGATTGGGCAGGCAAAATCTAAACAGAATAGATAGTCTCAAGATTCCCAGACTCTGGGCTATACGCACAGTCCTCCACTTAAGACTGTAATGGAACCTGGAACTTGTGCCATAAGTAATGAGAGTTGTAAGTCAAGGCACTGAACTGGATCTGATTTTACATCTTTTGCAGCAGTTGTTAGGTAAACGCCATGGGCATCAAGCAAAGCCATGAATTCCTGTGGGCAATTTTATTACCAGCTAAAAAAGGCTGGAAACTGTCAAAAACCTCAAATTGTGTTCAGGTGACCATGAAATGCTGCAGTCGGTCCTAATGTGAGCTGGTTGCCAAGTGCCTGAAGTGCAGTTACGACTGCAGGCGTGTGTGCTGCATCAAAGCTCTGGAACTGGGTCGTAAGAAGCTTGGGGGGGGGGCATTGTAAAGTTGAAAAGTCGCTAGGCAACTGGCCACTTAACAAGGACCACCTGCAGCTTTATAGAGGCCCCGGTCTAGCTCCCATCCAGAGGTGAGTTGTACTCAGAAGAGTGGCCCCACCCCGGAGCTCCTCCCAGCAGCCGTGTTTGGTGAGGGTCTTCTGAGTGATCTTCCAAGGCAACTCCACGTGAAGCCAATTGCAAAAATCCACAGAGAAAATGCCACTTGTTCTGGGTGTGGGTTGTTTGATTGCTGTTTGTTTTGATGCCCTTCCAAGTTTGTTTTGCCTCATTCCTCATAAGCTTTCTCCCTGCTTTTGCTTTCTGTATGCATGGCACAAACCTGCAACAACTGGCTTTATGGTGCTAGGTTGCCTGTTCTCGAATACGTTGTCATTGTCACCAAGTTCCCCCTGTCATTACACCTTTGTCCCCAGGCTACAGGACCCTTTCTGCCCACTTCCAGTTCTGAGCATCCAGCCCTGTGGCTTTATCCAAAAGCCCTCAGCCCAGCTGGGAGCTCCATCACATATCTCAGTGCTTGTGCCACAAGACTGGGATGGGGGATGCATCACACCAGAGAAAGCACAGTCCTCATGTAGGCTAAGCAGGTGAGGCACAGGAAAGTAGGAAGGAAGCAGTAATGAGGACACCCCCATTAAGTTCTAAAACTGGGTTCAAGAATCCTCTTGGCCATTATTGCCTCTGAAAACGTGTTTCTTCACTCCCAGAACTCAGAGACACTTCCTGAAAAGCTTCTTTGCTTAGATTCCCCACAACTCTGAAATTCTCTTTTGTGCGCACTCTTTTGCCTTAGTCCCGCTTATTCGGGAGTGATGGAAGGTGACTCCTTACGCAGAGTTTCCTGATCTTTGAAGACAGTGTGCAATCCTGGTAAACAACCCATTTCCCCTTTCCTCTTACAGAAACGTCAGTATTTATGATGCTCGGCACCTGAAGAGCAGAAGCCAGGCAGTCGTTGCTCTCAGCGGACACACCAAGAGTGTTGCTTCAGCTTATTTTTCACCTGTGACTGGAAACAGAGTAGTGACAACTTGTGCTGACGATAGTCTGAGGTATGCGTGAGTTGGTCTTCTATTAGATTTTGCTTTGGAGAGTCTGCCTTCTAATTTTCTTCTGCAGCAGCTAAAATACCTTATTTAGCAGGACAAAAGGTCCAGGGAAATTGCCTAAGTAGCCTTCAAAGCAGTTTCTCTTTTTTCTTTGCGATATGTGCAGAACAAAGGGAGGTTGCTGGTTTCTGTGTAAAAATGGGGATGAGATCAAAGAACCTTGTTGAGAGGAGGGGCTGGGGAAAGGCTAGAGGACTCCACAGACACACCTCTATACCCTTATTGCAAATGTTGTGAGGAATCGAGCAATTTTGGTTCTACTATTGACCATTGGATTCCACAAACTGGAAAGTCCGAAGATGAGTTCACAGAGCAAGAGGAGCTGCAGTTCAGTTGGCATCTGCCCCAAGGGAAGAGAAGAAAGACAAACGGCCTCGAGCAGCAGCTGCCTCCTTCTCCAGCCTCTCTGGAAGGACTTGCATAGAATCTGCAGCTGGAGGAGAAGGACCAGGTGCCACGGAGGGGCCGCACATGTGGGCACATGCTCCTACAAGGTTGGGGTGGTGGTGGTCCTGTTTTTCACCAGGATCATTTTGCTCTCATCAGCTGCTCCAAGAAGCCTGGAGCCAGCTGGGATTGACAGCTTAGAAACTATTTTGACATCAATCAGGAGGGAAACTGAACCATCAGGGAATTCCCAAATGCCCAGAAAACTCAACCAGTGGGGTGGACCATCTTCTTAAGGGGATCCTCAGCTACATAGAGACCAAGGGTGGTCTGCAGTCTGGGCTCATAGGGGATCGGAGCAGGGCAAGGGACAGATGGCAACCACCCTTCTATCCAAGCCAGGTTTCATCTGCTTGGGAGGGGAAACTAGACTGCTGACCCGACAGCATGAAACCCCAAGGCATAGTGCCCAGCCAGGTCACGGTTGAAATTTGGGTGGGCAGCCTTTATCAGCCTCGGGAAATTGGGCCATCCAGGAGTCAGCCTTTCTGGGAGGTTTCCCATCTCCATGCAGTGCAGGGATCTTTGCTGCTCACTGTTGCAACTAGCGCTCAGTTTAAGCTACAGGGATGGTGTAACACCCCGCCCCCCATGCTCCACTGCCCTGATTTCCCCCTCATCATCCAGGGTCTGTTCACATTCCCTGTCAGGGACTTGGTCCCCAACCCTGGAATAGCAATAGCACATATATCACAGTGTTTTACAGCCCTCTCTAAGCAGTTTACAGCATCAGCCTCTTGCCCTCAACACTCTGGGTCCTCATTTTACCCACCACGGAAGGCTAAGTCAACCTTGAGCCTGGTGAGATTCGAATTGCTAAACTGCAGGCAGCCGGCAGGCAGCAGAAGTAGCCTGTGGTACTGCATTCTAACCATTGCGCCACATCAGCTCTTTGTGTTCTCTCTGAAAGTTTGAGGAATTTAAGGCCTTTTTGTTGGACGAGTAGACTGGATAGGTAAGTGGGAAGAATGCTGGAATAGTAATAACTCCAGCTCTCCAACACACACACACAGACAGTTGCATGGTGGAAAGTAGGAGGTAAGTGGAGGGATGGTTACCTGTGGGCGTGGGGGAAATAGGGTCTAGAAAGAGGCAGGAAGAAGGAAGTAGCCTCTGGCCTGAAATTGGCCAACATGATTTAAAACCATCATGGCTTCTTCCCTTCACAAAGGTCTGGTGTGCAAAGTCAGGAAGTTTTAAAATGAGAGATGAGGAAGCAGCGTTATTTCTTCTGTATCTGAGCTGCTGAACGGAGGAGAAGAGCAAGGCCCCAGCTCTACCTATCTGCTGCTGGTATCACATAGGTCGTCATTACGGCCATTTTACTTTCCAGAGGTGGTTCTTCTGTTCTTGAATCAACCTGTGGACTAGGTTGTCAAGAACCTGTTCCCTGAGCAAAGATAGTAGAATAGCGAATACGGGGGGGGGGGGGGGGAATGGAAGGGGAACCAACTGATGCTACGCCTGGCTATATTGATTCCTTGTTGGGGAGGCTGCAGGAGGGGTGAAATATTTGCTCCTCAAGGAAGTTTTGATACAATCTTTGTGCAAAATGAGATGGGTCATTAGAGTGCCCCAGCACAAACCTTCATATGAGAAGGATTGATGAGAGTTGATTGCATGTTTCTCGCAATTACTGATAATGGCCAGGCCCATGCTGGGGAGATGCCCAGTTGCTGTTCCCTGGATCATGCTGGAAGGCTGTATAGAGAGATGCATGGACTGCCCTGCTCCATAAGACTAGGCCTGGAGGCAGCCTGAATTATGTCAGCAAGTTTCCTCCCAGCTCAGGGAGGGGAGCAAAGGTAAGCAACTTTGAGGATAAGCCATAAGTGGCACTTAAAGCAATCAATTTGTTTATTACAGCCATAAGGCTAGATACAGTGGAATATCCAATTGTAGAACTGTCACATACACCCCATATATCTACAACAGAAAAACAGAAAGTCCTGTATCATAAAAATGATAATGGGGGCATGTAAACAGCAGTTTGAGGGTTTGGGTCCTACTCTCTTAAAACCTAATCCGAAGGTTGGGACTTCTTTGACTAAACCCTCATTTTTGCCTTACAGGATCTTTGGAACTCAGTGTTTATCATCTCTAGCTCCCATTCTCACAACTATTCGGTGAGTTGATACAAGGAGATTGACTGGATACAGGTAGCCCTTGACTTATGACAAAAAAAATTCCATTGCTAAGCAAGACAGTTGTTAAATGAGTTTTACCCATTTTACGAACTTTCTTTCCACAGCTAAGTGAATCACTGCAGTTGTTAAGTTAGTAACATGACTGTTAAGTGAATCTGGCTTCCCCATTGACAAGGTTACAAAAGGTGATCACATGACCCTGGGACAACATAAATACACGCCAGTTGCCAAGCATCTGAATTTTCATCACGGGATTCCAGGGCTGCCTCAGTGGTTCTAAGTGTGAAAAATGGCTATAAGTCATTTTTTTCAGTGCCAATGTAAGTCACTAAATGAATGGCTATAAAAGTTGAGGACTACCTGTACTGATGAGAAAGAAATTGCCTAAATGAAGACAATTTTCCACATAGGTCCTGGCATCCAAGTGTCATTCAGGAATTTAAAGGCCAAGTGAGCCAACCCCGCATCTCTCTTTTCCCTTTTCTGAACAGGCACAACAACAACACAGGTCGATGGTTGACCAGGTTCCGGGCAATTTGGGACCCCAAAAGGGACGACTGCTTTGTAGTGGGGAGCATGGCACGGCCAAGGCAGATCCAGGCCTTTCACACCAGCGGAGAGCTGCTCCACTCCTTTCTGAGTGAGGATTATCTTAACTCCGTTTGTTCCATCAATTCCTGGCACCCCACTAGGTACCTGGTTGTGGGTGGAAATTCCAGTGGCCGCCTGCATGTCTTTAAAGAGTGACAAGTATGCTGAAAACAAATCAGAGTTAAGTGTTTAGTTTAGTTACGCCTGATTTTGCTTCAGGGCAAAGGCAGCTACAGACCAGTAAGTGCGTTGGGTCACACATCTGAAGAGATCCCCCATTGCGACTAAGAAATTAATAAGGCTCAGGTTTGCCATTATGGGATTGTAACTTTTTGAACAGACTGAGAAACTATTGGTGTCAATTTAATCACAGAGGCTTATTAATCACAGAGCTTATAAACTGTGCAATAGATAAAACTTCATTTAAAAGTTAAATGCTAGTACTTTTGTGATAAGAAATTTAAATGTGTGTTCAAGAATCAATAAAAAGCATATTTTGATATTTTTAATTCAAACATCATGTTTATATTGTTTATTCCTAATATCGATTGGAAATTATGAGTGCTCTGATCAGAAAAATGGCTCTTACAAATTAGGGGAGTGGGGATGGCCCCTGTGTTCGTAAACATCTTTAACGTATAAACAATCGTATAACACACACACACACACCATGTTAGTTCTCTTCAAGCTTCTCTTATTATGCCCCTTAAACATACTTTAATGATTTTAGTAATCATTGTAAACAATTGTTCCCCAATTAAATTGCTCAAAAGGATTTTTTTTTCATCATAATTAAGGATTTATTTAAATTTGAAAATACTTTTATATGGAATCAATGGTTCTGCACTAACTACAGGCTGAGTGTAGAAAAAATTACATCTTTGAAGGAAAAACATGACATAGTATTTGGCACATGAATTAACAACATCTATATTATGAAAACGGAAAATTCACATTTTCAGGTAATCAACCTTTTCCTGCTTCAGCCTGCGGCACCTTAGTCCTTATTCAGAGTCTCTTTCCTCTGATACAGCAACTTGTGGAAATCCCCCCCCCCAAAAGTCATACAGTTGTGATTTGGAACAAATGAACAATGAACCATGAAACAGAATGCCAAAGGGTTGAATTGGCAGAAACAGAGCTCAGTGCCCCAACGCATTCTGAAGTGCACAAGAGAAAGTGTCCTTAACTGGGTCCAGGATTTAGGGTCAACAGCTATCTAAGAATGACTCCCCCCCCCCCAACATTTGCATCTTGTCTTTAAAAAATGTATTGCATGAAATAGTTACAGGTAGAATTGGACAGGTTTGAGGCATGAGAAACACCACCAACAATTAACATGTGAAGGTTTATATCTTTCTCTGGAATGGAGAATACGACATGAAAACTTTTCCTTCACTGCATAGAAGCATCATTTACTACAGACTGAGGTAGGCACACCACACTAGAAGTTTTTGTTGCTTTGTTGCATAAAACATCATAAATCCTTGGATATGTCCCTCCATCTTCTCCTAGATGATACAAAGTGTAATGCATCTGTTCCTCTTGCGAAAGCCACGATTGCTTCTGGCTCCTGAGAGACCGGCCATGCGATTTTGCCACTTGACTCTGAGGGGAGTCTCCATTGACCGGCATCTTCGCTAACCAATGTGCATGCTCCCCGTCTAAGTGCAGCAGAGTCTTGCCCATTCCTATGTATTGCTAATGCTGTTAATTGTGCTCTTTTTTGAATGGCGAATGACCAGCTGGGGAGGAAAAGTCATTGCGCAAAGTCCCCCCCTCCGTAGCCTCTTCCCATTGGTTCTGGCAGTGCTTCGGTTCTGCTGAATGTGGAGGGCCTCTGCGCATACACAGGGCTGCCCCGGCAGAGTCAAGATCATGAAGCCGGCCTCTTGGAATATTTCTGATTAGATCCCCAAATGACTTGAAATCTCTCCCTGAGATGAAATAGAACCCTTGCCAGTCAGATTTCGTGCTCTTGCTCTCTTCCCATGTTTTATTGCTCCCTGTACAAGTGAGCTGCTGCTTTTAGAGAATGTTCTCTGAATCACAAAACAAAATACAAAGAAGTCTGGGTTCCCTTTGCTTTGGAGACATTGTGGGTCTGATTGTTTTCTTCTCAGTGGTTACTTGTCATTTCTCCTAATTTTCATTTTAAAATAGCACAAAACAGCTCACTTTTTAGAAACGATTGATGGTTGATGCCATGTTAACACATTGTTCTAAAATACTTGTAACCTTGTGAGTATCTCCGTCACTTGATACCGAACACTACATTTATCCAATTTATAAAGTAAAAAAAGGTTTGGTTCATTAACAAAATATATATTTTTCTTAAAATATAGGTTGAAATAAGTTCTTTCATAATACAAAAAAATTTACAGTTTACTGTGGCAGAATCTCATTCAAAGAATCCAGACCTGATGGTTACTTCTACAGCAAGATTTCAAAAACAACAATCAGGTGCACAGATTGACTCTTCCCATCTTCACCAGCTCCTGCTTCCTTTGGCACCCACCTATTCTAAGAAAAGGTCTCTGGGATTGAAAAGGCCAAGGATAGAAATTCACCAAAGACAGGTACTTAATGGCCGTTGCACTCCATGCTAAGGGAAGAAATAAATATAATGCTGACTGACTTCCTCTCGTAACAACCTATTGCTTGAAAAGAATTAATGCTAGATAATCTCACAATATTGGCATTGGTCCTATCATTCCCCCCCCCCCCGCCGTCACACCCCCACATAAAGCCTGGCGATCGGTAAGAAAATAAAACTGCCCTGTTTTCAGTGTCCATGTCCAAGATGGTAGTGCTATGCACAGTGACAGTTTTAATAAAATAATACTATATTATTAAACTTACAACTCAGTAGCACCATTACAAAAGCTCCTGCATAAAGTAACAGCTGTTTTCGTGAACTGGTCTCCCAGCTGAAGGCTGGCATTTAGTCCGACGCTAGTAATAATAAAAATAAGCTCTCTCTACTTGAAATTTCTGCAGTTAACACCTCTACGGAAGCAAAACTAAATTTGAAGAGTGCAGAGTAATTTGAATGTCGGAAAGCAGGACTTTGAAGGAGCTCCCCCAAGAGGACCTGCAAAGAAATTGATTACGTGGTGGGTTTGATCTGGTGTGAGTCTGTCCTTCGGCTGGGAAACTGCCCTCCTGGGCCGCAGCGTGCTTTGAGTCATGAGAGGAGGAGGAGGACTTAGTTTATGTGCTGATGGCACCACGATGAGCTCCGTTTTCTGGGCATGGGCAGCAGGGATCTTCCACAGTCCACCCGGCTAGTTACTAGGAGGACAACTGCCTTCAGGTATCATTGAGCAGGCTGAGTACGGAGCGGATTTTGCAGGCAAACCATCGCCTGAGGGGACAAAAGTATTGGTAATGGAATTGTTCAAACTCGGGGGTCTGGCGAATATCACGGAAAAAGGCAACGTCAAGGTCAGACTCTGTAAGGATGATCAGGAGAAGGAGCAAAACCAAGAGGAGTCCGACCGTCACAAGGAGCAGACGGAGGACACTTAAAACAAACTTATTCACCTGTTCTGCTTGGGCTCCTCCACTGCTGCACAAGGCCCGGAGGTCCCTTCCCAGCTCCTCTGCCTCCCCCGCTAGAGCGCCGGCTTCTGACTCCTCCTCTATGCTGCAAGGGTTGCCATTAATCGGCCGGGACAGCAGCATCAGCTCGAGACTCTCTTCGGCCACCGGAGTGGGCAGCACGCTGTCCGATGGACTGTAGATCTCATCTGAGATGATCGCCACACGCTCGTTGCTCTCCGCCCTGCCACTCCGCGAGTGGAGCAAGAAGGTGTCGCTGTGGGAGGTTGACCTGACCGGGGTGGAGTGAGCGCTGTCTCGCAAAGACTCGAGGCCTGAAGGGACAGAAAGACGGGGCACATTGCAGAGCCATAAAAACGGCTTCCACCAGTCAAAGGCCAACAGCCCCCCCCCCCCTAAAGTTGCATGGCAGGGCAGCGTTCTTCTTTGCTCTCTTTAAATCAGTCAAAGTGCCATTTCCAGATAACTCCTTTTGCGATAGTGCTGCTTTATACTGCACCACGTCCTGTTCTAGTTGCCATGATAAAGAGTCCCGGGCCTCAGACAGGACCTTCAGATACCCCATGGCTTACTTCCCTCCATGTAGATGCAGCTCCATTAAGGCCTACACGTTGAGTGCGGTTGATCAGCCAATTACTAATCCATCTGGTAGTGACGATGCCTAGCTAACGTTTTTCTATCTTATAAAGCAGTAGGTTGTGGTCTACTTTGCCAAATGCCTTACTGAATCCAAGTAAATTATGCCCACTGCATTTTGCTGGTCACTATCAAAGAATATAAAAAGGTTTGTCTGGAAAGATTTGTTTTTGACAAAGCCATGTTGGCTTCTAGTAATAGCTTTGCTTGTTTCTAAGTGTTTGCAGACCCATTGCTTATCTTTTCTTAGACCATAGGAGATCTGATTTCAACAAAGCTTGGGAAGGATTTCATGGGTGAAAACCTTAAAGGGGGAAACTCTCAAGAAGCTTGGAAAACTCTGAAAAATGAGATTATAAAAGCACAGTTCACCACAGATCCATCGTCGTTACATAAAGAACTGTCCAGATAAACTGAAAGACAAAAAGGACAAGTATGAAAACGGAAAGAGGGATGCATAACTAAGGCAGAATACCGCATATAGCCCAGATCTTCAAATATGAAGCCAGGAGAGGTAAGGCTCAGAATGAATGAAGGCTTGCTGCAAATGTAAAAAAATAATAAAATTTTCTTTTAACATGTAGGAAACAAGAAAAAAGTCAAGTAAACAATTGATCCAGTAATGGGAGGCGATGGCAAGGAGGCATCAGGGAGAAAGTGGAGCTGCTTAATTCATTCTGTGCATCTGTCTTTATAGAAAAGGAAAAAATAGTCCTACCTAACGAAAATTTTACTGTAAACGACAGAGAAGTCAAAATAGGCAAGAAAACGATAAGAGCACAACACCCATCAACTCTATATAAGTACAAATTGCCAGGACCAGATGGATTCCATCCCAGGGGTCTGAAGGAGCTGGCAGACATAATCTTGGGAGCACTGAACCGTATCTTTCAAAGATCCTGGAGCATCAGGAAAGTACTAGAGGACTGGATAGAGCTTATATGGTTTCTGCAAAAGGAAAAAAATGGATCCAGGAAACTCTAGATATATAGGTTTGATATCAATACCTAGGAAAATCCTGGAAAAGATAAGCATTGGATCTGCAAATGGAAGCAAGCAGAGCTATTACTAGAAGCTGGCATGGCTTTGTCCTGTTGGATTTTGTTCTACTGCTTGTGCCTGCATTTTATTGAATTCCAATCCAGTCTCCCCTACAACTTCAATCCCCTTTATTTTTTCTTTATTTTTTCATCTCCATTAGTAAGAATTAAGTCCACTTTTTGGATGACAAAGTTATCAGCTAGGCTTGTCAGGAACCTATTTCTTCCAGTTGATGTCAGGATAGTTAAAGTCCCCATTACTACAGTGG